CGCCACGGGCAGGCCCACCAGGGCGGGTGCAGGCAGGGGAGGCGGCGGCTGTGTGGCCTTGGCAGCCGTGGCCACCTCCTCCAGCCACCGCTCGGCCTCCGATGGTGTGCGCCGGTGTCCCGGCGCGACGGGGGGTGCGGGAGCCACGGAGTCTGGGGCCGGCGCCGGCACCCCCCACGTGGCTGCAGGGAAGGAGACAAGGGTCAGGGCAGCTCGGCCGTGGATGGGGGACCTGGGGGTGGGGGCGTGACCACAGTAGGGGTGTGGCCATACAGGAGGGCAAATAGAGGTGTGGTCACACCTGGGGGTGTGGTCAATAGGGTTGTAGTCATACCTGGGGGTGTGGCCACACCTGGGGGTGGGGCCAGGAGGGAGTGTGGGCACAGTTTAGGGGTGTGGGCACATAGGGAGTGTAGTTGCAAGCAGTAGGTGTGCCCATACTGGGGGGGGGGGGGGCCCATAATGGGGGGCGGCCCATAAGGGATCACAGTTGGTGAGAGCAGGGGTGTGGCTTTACTGGAGGCGTGACCACAGCTGCTATCAGGGGGTGTGGCCATAGCTAGACATGCTGCTGCTGCCTAGGGGCGTGGCCATAGGAAGGGGCATGGCCACCTCTGCTGAGCCCTGAGAGGGCGGGGCAGTACCTGGGGCAGCAGGCAGGGGCGGACTGGGGGCGGTGGCACCGGGGGGAGCAGTGGCGCCGAGCGAGGCGTCGATTTGGCTGCAAAGTGCGGTGATGCCGTCGGCGTCGCCGGGGGGCGTGGGCTCCATCTCCAGCACTAGGGCGCAGAGACAAGGCGGGAATGAACCCCGATCTGACCCCCCTGCAGCCCCCCTCCCGTGGCGGTGGCCCACCAGGCCCGGGCTGGCGGTACAGACCGCGGCGCTGCAGCGTGGAGGGCAGGTCGTTGAGGCGCAGCGAGAGCTGGCGCTTGAAGGGCGAGTTGCGCTGGCTGAGCGCGGGGAAGCCGCGGAAGGAGCCCTGGCGAACCAGCTGCTCCAGGGGTGCGTGGCGCC